TCCTCCGTAGAGGAGTTTCCTGTTTCCAATCTCATGTTTGCTTGCCTGTCTCTCCGCCGGACTTCACCGACATTGTAGCGACGGATAAGACTGTGTGTTCGCTTGTGTCCGCCTGAGTTCACCTTAGTGCCCGAGATTCTTGAGGATTCTTGAGGTAAGATGGTTGTTTCCATTTTGATATTTGCTTCCTGAATGCCTGGTCCTCTCGGAATTGTCGATTGTTGAGGGGGAGCCTTGAGACGCGAGGGCTCGTTTCGAGCGACAATACTGTTGACATCTCTGCGGCAGCAGATCGAGAGAAGAGCTTACGGTTATTGACTCCGAGTCTCCCGGAGCGACAGCGAACAAGCAATATGTCATATTTTGCAAAGCTCCCCTTGAGCAAACTGAAGGACGCATTTTGAAAATGTGGGGCCGACCTCAATCCGAACGGATTTCGTAGGAGCTAAGTAGGAGTCACCTCCTAGTCACCTCCCGAACTTCCGGGGAGGTAAAATGGTGAAACCGCTCTTATCCTGAGAAACATGCGATTGGGACCGCGGAACCGTCCTTTTTCAAGTGAGGCTCCGGAAAGGCGTCGGTGCGGTTGACTCTCGGCACCCCGAGAAATCGATCTCCGTATGCTGCTAGAATTCCGCGGGAAAAAATCGCGGTTATCTCAAGTAGTGCCAGGAGCCTCAAGTCGCTAGAGATCTGCGAAGACAACGTCGATGCCGGAGAAGCACGCGGGCCTGAAGCGCACGGATATCGAGTGTATCAGTACTGATAGACTTGAGAGTCGTGAAGGGTTGAGCAGCGAATTTTTCACTCCAGAAAAATAAACCGAAAGTAGGTATCCGTCGGATTTCCGCGCTTTATGCAGAAGGCTGACCAATGGCTCCGCATCAGGCATAGAACCTTTCGGCGCGGCGACCCGAATCTGAAAAGATGCGATCAACTTGACGACGAGCTCTCGTGATGTCAGTTGCCGCCAATTGGAACCGAGATTCGAACAGGACCGAGTGCGCTAGAATCGATCATGGAATCTGCGGTGAATCACCGCGTGGGTGTCGCCAGCCAGACTCCGCTGATGTATTTCCGCTCGGCGCGAATCAAATCAAAGCTGTCCACTGCGGAACAGTCCGTTCCGGCCGTGCGAATCGAATCCTAGATTCGGTCAGGACTTTCCAGTTCGCCTCCCTCCCTTGAGGAGACATCCGCGATGAGTCCCCCAAGGATTCGCCGAACCTCACCTACTCGTATAAGCGCCGAGGATTCCCCGGTCGGCCAACGTCAAGATGAAACACAGTAGAACTGCACTTCGATGCAGGGTCTCGATGGGGGTGAGGAGATAATGTGTGGTAAAAAAGCGTTAGAAAAACGACGGACTGCGAGTTACGAGCTCTGCAGAAAACCTCGTTGGAGAGACTTGATATTAGAAGAGTCCATCAGGTCTAGACGTTGAGACGCCAGCCCTCCGTGATGGAATGTTCCCCCTTGCTGGAACGAGCTGTAGGAGATTTTTCAAGTGGACTCGGCAACTTCGCAGAACGTCGATGGACCCGTTTTCGCGATGTTCGACGGACTCGAGCCGCTCGTGACCGATTGGGTTCCGGAACATTGGTCTACGACTTACGTCTCATGAATGTTTATTGCACTGTTTTCCGTCCCAGAGTTTGGATAGAGGGCAGTGCTCACTCGGTAACGGTGGTGGAGAGAGCCGATTCCGAAATTATTGAAAACACCCGACGCTCAGCGGGCGCACTCTGCTGGAATAGTTTCGTGTCAGGCAGCTGGTAGAAACTCATCAGGAGGGGGCTTGGATGCTTCATGGCTCTAACTGTTGGAACAAGTGCCGTTCCATGCGGCGAGAATCGCTCGGAAACGGTGTTCGAACGTTTGAGGAATCTTGGAGAACGAGTTTTATGGAATGCTGCGAAGGGATAGCACTCTGCGTTGGGACTAATTACGCAAGAACTCGTGGTTTGAAGATTTGAAGATCTCTGTTTATCGTCCGTCTCTGGGGTGATCGAACTGCGACCGGGCTCACCCGTGCAGCCCGACAGGCGCTTCCTGACCCGACATTGATTGCGAGCCACGAGCGACTTCCCAGGTCTATGTCCGTGTCTTCCCAAGAGTATATGAAGTCTATGCCCGCCCGATTTTCGAACTTTCATCCTTCCCATTAGCAGAGGAAATCGACAGAGAGAATGAGCTGATATTTTTTTTGGAAATTAACTTGGAATTTGCTCGTAGATGCCTTTTGAAGAGGGTCAGCAGGCCAATGACACGTGACCACAGTCGAGATGCAATGCAGTGAAATGGGTGTGGGGAGCGCCCAAGGAACACGAATTCGTGGAATACGAATCAGAATGTACCGGTGTAGCGGAACAGTCATTGGGTATCATTAGATTCCGAGTTCTGGTCTGCGGCTCGATGGAGCCCATGCGGGGCGTCGGAGATTTTTGCTGAAAATCCTGGTCTATCTGCCCTTGCTGGCGGTCCCGGCGTCTGTCTACTCTCATTCGACTAGATCCGATTCAGACTCCGAAACTGTCCCCAAGGATCGGGGAGCGAAGCCGCGAAAATTGAGCGACGCGCTCCGTCAAAGGCCACAAGGCTCCGGCAAGAGCAAACTCTTTGAGAAAATATGGAAACGGCCAGAAACTGAGCGGCTTGACTCCTCCGCCGACTCCGAATTCGGAACACAAGTTGAGTTTCCGAAATTCGGGAGCGCAAGCGACGGATCGGCACGTATGTACGCTGCACAGCATTGATGTTTATATTGGCTTTGGGGTTCCGCTCCTTGAAAAATACGGAAAGTCCACGAATGGCGTTCGGTTGGCGTGACGATACGCAGTGGAGGAACTTTCAAAGCATTCATATGAGGAACTTGATCGTCAGCTAATACTCTACCGCGAGCTCGAACTCCGGCCCCATTTGGTTCAAAACAACTATGTACTGTGTCGGAAATTTCGAGCGGAGAGCCGCAGTGATCCTGTCGAAAACCGGTACAGCTGTTCGAGGAGCGAGCAGTCGAATCCAGGGAACCCCAGTGGGCTCTCACGCTTAAGCGAAACATGCGAGATGGTGGAACACAGTCCTCGCGATATCGAAGCCTACCTTGAAGAGGAGAGGTTTCGAACGGTCTAACGTAAAAAAGACCGACGAGGGTAATGTTCTATTTAGTTTAGAATTTTTTTCCTTGACTCTCCTCGCCCCGAGTCATGAGTCGGCGACTCCATGCCAAACTCCAAACTCGGAGCGCGGCCATTGATTCTCAAATCAACCATCGCCTTTCCAAGGTTTCGAATACAGAACGTGCGATTGGCTCCGAGAAGCGTTTTTCCCCTTTGTAATCTGGCTCAGGAAACTATCCGGAGCAAGGATCATCGAGACGAGGGATTCATAAGCATCAGGTTCCGGGTCCGCAGGAGATCGTCAAGGCTCACTACGCCCACTCTCCAATGATTCAGCCCGTTCTTCATCCGATGCTCGAAAAGGCAGGAGTCGAAACCCTGTGCCACAATCCCTCGCAGAACCCCGGATATGTCACGTGAAGTCTCCGTTTCGAATGCGATACACGTAATCTGGAGCACACGGGATCTAAGCAAATAAGATTTTGGCAAGTTGGAATGCTTGTTCTGCAAATCGGAGTCCTTCCCGCCGCCACGGTCGATCAAATTTTAGGGCGAGCGTAGAGCGCTCCTCCATCTTCCTGAGTTTGCTTCAGTGACTCTCGCGAGAGTTTCCATATAATTCGGCGCAAGTCTTACGGGAAAACTCTAGAGAATTCAGAGGAAATGTTCCGCTCACGTCTGGCAAAGGGAGCGGCGGGAAATCGAGCGATTTCGGAATACAGTGGGCGAATGGAAAGCCATCAATGAGTATTCGCCACCTCCCGCTGCATTGGAAGCTATCCATCAAGAACTTTCGTTCTATTCCCCAAATGGAATAGAATTCCGAGCGCGTAGACGCTCCACACCTAGAACAGGGAATCGCCGAGCATCTGTCAAGAATCAAGGCCAATCGCCGAGAACGATCATTTCGGAAGAATGCACGTTCTCAGGGAAGGCGCTCATTCGAGCCCGATTCAGCGCAATGCACGAAGAATCCGATTTTTCCCACAGTGCCGCTATTCGGACTGGGTAGTAGCCAAGTGACTTCTGCTGCGCTTCCTCTGCGGCCGCCGAATTAATCTAATAAAATTTATTTCGTTTCAAAAAGTACAAAAAATCGATTCGTGGTCCCCGCCGCCGTCGAGACTTCGTAGCGCTTTCCGACCAGTTTCGGCCGAGTCTGCAGTTGTAGCGGTCTGTGTCCTCACGGACGGACCTGAGCGACTCATGAAATCACCTGGGACTGATTCTCGACTCACTCCGGTTCGCTCCCGGAAAGCAGAAGTCAGCTCTTCGACTGAGCATCCCGCACAGACGACCGCGTAGGCCGAACCTTCAGAAATTATTACGCGAGCAAGGAGGAATAGACAGAGCGCAGACCTCCGTTTGTTCGCGAAACGGATGCTGCTGCGAAGCCGAGCAGAAGAAAAACAGCGCCAGCCTCAACACTCGTCGTCGCTGCAGCGAACACGGAGCGTAACAATATTTCCTAATCGATTTCCAAGATTGGCCGACGCTGGAAATCGAAATGTGGAATCGCCGTGAGATTCTAGGCGGGCCTAATCTCGCTTTACGCTCAATGCTTTCTAGGATGACCGCCGTCGCCGCCACCGCAACGACCATCGTTCGAATGAGAAAAAAAATCGTGCCTTCGAGCGCAGGTGCAGCGAGCACGCGTAATCAATTCAGGGCCTGCATTGGGTGCGCGGCCTTAATGCACAAACGTCGTCTAGTCGGTTTCATCTGCTCCGTTCCGTCGTTTCGTCTGGCTTCTCTGTCTGTCCGGTTTTCCCTAATCGGCGCGTCACGTCCCCAGGTTCACTCCCTGACTGTCCCCTTGCCGGAGCCGCAGACGCAGCCGAAGCCGTCGTCGTCGTCGCCACCGCCGCCGCCGTTGCCGCCATGAGAAAGTCTCCTCGTCACCGCTATATCGAGATAGGGAAGAAGGGCCAGCGACACATGATGCTGGTCATGGAGGACGTTCCGAGGCGAGTAAAAATCAAGAAGAGACCATCCAACCAGTGGAAGGACAATCCTACGATCGTCGTAGAGGAGAGCTCCGATCCAGACGAGCAAGGAGGCTCCAAACGTGAGTTTGAAATCGTTACTTGCTTTGTATGCATTCGGCTCGTGCTCGCATCTCATCTCCGATCTCTCCACTCGCGACGGTGCGAACGGCCGTCGCGCAACCCAGTAGCTACTGGCACCGCCATGCCCGATCAGTCGTGGCTGCAGAAGCTCAAGACAGCGCTCGGTAACGAGCTTTTCTTGATTTTCCTCTCTAACTCGAACATGTTGATTAAAGGTGAAGGTGGCGATTTCATTTTCGACGATCAAAACCGTGACGACGATCAGGCTTCTGACCAGGACGGTGACGACGCTTCGGACAAGTCCCAATCCGACGTCGACGACAAGGACAAGGACGACGACAAAGCAGATGAAGATCGATTCTATCCAAAATCAGCCATGAAAAAAGATACCGCTCTCAAAGACGGCGACATCGACAGCGAGAAGTACGCCGCCGCCGATGGAGAAGGTGAATCGCTGATTAGTTTGGAGGAACATCTTCTTCTCATGGAAAGTCGACTTATCGAGGACATTTCTACGATCGTGCGCGAGGAGCTCGCCGAATTCAAAAGATTATTTGTGAGTACTACTTTGTCTAATGTAAGTGAATCGAATCATAAGGACTCGACGCTCTCTAGAGTCTAGAGGAACGCCACATTCGAACAGCGGTGGGCTCCACGCTCTCCCGGGAAAGTCTTCGAGCTCTGCGAGACACCGATAGCGGACTCTCTCGATAGCGTGTATCCAAGCAACCTCGTTACCGATATTGATATCGAAGTCGAGACTCCAAGGTTCTCGCCAGCGTGTCCAGAAGATCGAGCGGAATTCTTTGACTCAACATAATTTCCGTTTCTGTCGTTGCGTCTCGGTTTTATGACGAACGAATCAATCGTTCGTTCCACTGCGTGCGCCCCCTGACGACCGACTAGATGGAATCCCGCGGCTCGACACTCGATCACGCCGAAGAACGGTACTATGCCGCCGAGATAAACGAGCCAACCCCCGAACGAGTACCTCATCATGCTGGAATCGTGGATTATTGACCAGTTATGTAGACTCGTGCGTCAGCAGGTGGAGGTCCTGCTGCGAGTGAGTAGAACGCACGCGAACAAGGATGCAGTCAGGCAAACGGAAGGGCAGCAAAAAACCATTGTGGCATGCAAAGGTGCATGCCGAGTCACTGCATGTCCGACCGATAAACGTTTGCGGCACAGCGGAGGAGGACTTGCATGCCACTCGAGACGTAAAGAGATCATGCATCTGTTATCGCTAAATGACCGTGAGCGTCATGACGCGGCCGTTTTTCTCGAGCCTTTTCGGCGGAATGAGCGTGAAAATCTATTCGTTCGCGCCTTGAGTCACAACAACGTCGGAGCGATCGTACAGGAGGACTCAATTTTGTTTGTGTTTGTTCTGTGTTCTTGCAGCTGGTCACGCCTCCCGAGAGTCCAGAACCCGAAGAACCTGTCGGTGAAGATTTCGGAGAAATGTTCAAAAGTTTCGCCAGAGTCGGCGATTCCAAAGGAGCTGGCGATCTCATCACCCTCTCCAACTCGGACCGTTGGTGGAAGCAAGCGAAAGTCATCGACGGTCGACGGATTTCCACAACTGACACTGGCATATACTTCCGCAAAATCGCCAAGTGAGTCTCCGACGCTGTAGATACACGAGCGAGGATTGGATAGGTCCCCGAGCGAGGACCCATAAAGTTTCGACGGAATCTCGGGGGCCTCATGGGCATCGGCATTCCTCATTCCTCGCGGAGACTTGCCCCATGAATACTTGAGAACATCAAATTCCCGTAGAGGGATGAATTCCAACGTAATCATCTGGTCAGAGCACTCTGATATTCATCTGGTGTTAAGGTGCAGACTCAGGTCGTCAGGTATTCTTCACTACCGGATGCGGGACCGGCTGGCGACTCGCTGAAAATTTCAAGAGAGCTTTCAAGAGCGGCTACGTCATTGTGCATACGTAGCTCGCTCGATGCGGAGCTCGCGAAACAGCCTTGCGCTCAGAGGACTTACTTCTCTACTTGGAATTCCTCGCGGCGTTTTCTCTCGGAGAATAGTAAACAAAACTCCCTACGACCAGGAATTTGTGCCACTAAACTTTCTCCGGCAGGTAGATGATCGAGCAGCGATCCCGCCGATGACTCGCGTAGCCCTCGAATTTCTAGCTGCAGGCTCCGATGACTGTTCACTTCGCAGGAAGTTTTGGAGCTGACTTTCTTGTCCAGAGTCGAGTGCTCGGATGACCCTCCCGGAGAACACGATAACAAGGATAACTTTTTCCTTGTAGACAGAAGTAACATTTTCCAGAGGAGAACGATGTTTCGTAATTCTTCCAATTATGATCGAATGCTCGAGAGGACTTAGGAACCGCAACTTGAAACAATGGGACGACACTCGCCCAATCGTTCTCCGGCTTGTCCCGCTGGTCTCGAAGACCTTTCAAGCGCTTGTGTAACCCTAGAAGGGATAGTTCGGGTTGGTGAATTCTCTCGGAAGGGATAGTACGGCACCGTGAATTCCCCTGGAAGGTCGAGAATTGAAGATAACGGCCAGAAGGGTCTCATGAGCTTCCGAAAACAAACTTTCAAAAGGCGCGGGACTGATGGATGGGAACCTTTTTGCTCGAGCGGGCGTTCTATCTCGAGGGGCGAACCGCTGTTGACTCTCACCCTGTAACGAGATCAGAATGCACCACTGGAATTACAACGCAGAGACTGCCCCGGCGCGATTGTCCGAGGCTCCTCTTAGGCGACCGGCTTGTCGTTCCGAGCTCGAGTCCTTGAGTTGTTGTCACGGACCCCCACTCCTGGTCGCCCCCATATCGCTTCGGTGCTCCGCTCCCACGGGCGCAATCTGATTTCGTTGCTGCTGTTATCCCTACTGCTATCTCTCCCGTGGCCCCCGGAGAGCGTTTTGAATCCTGTATGAGCCTTATTCGCCGCAAATGAAATATTTCCTCTGTAGATCATCGCTCTTCTGTCTTTGCCCCTTACTGTACATCGGAGTCAAATCGATGCCGATTTGTCTCCGGGAATCCATGACCTGCTGAACCCTTTGCTGCTTATGCCCCATTATGCTTCATCTACCGCTGGTCGCATTTGTTCTCTAGAGTCTAGACTCATCGTTAGGGGTCTGACCTATGCGAAAGAGTCCTCCTTGCTTCGATCTCTTGAAGATTCGGACTCAAGGTCGCAATTCGGGTCACATGATCGAGCGTTTCACTTTCAAGAATGAGGAAAAGAGCAAACAAGCGTGGACGATCCAAAAACGAGAGATAAAGCTGAGACTCGGCCGCGGGAGGATGGAGAGAACAAACTTCGTTTCACTCTTCGTCGAGAATAAACAAAAGTCGGATCGTTCGCGTAACGAATCGAAATCGGGGCCTGCATCTATCTCGTCGCAAGCTATCTCTCCGAATGTCTGAATCTGGAGTGGCCCACGAATGGTCTGAAGCGGAGCGAGCTCAGAGTGCGTTCGCTCCCGTCCGACGCGTTCAACATGATTTTGAACGGCTCCCTCGACGGGCGCTTCTATTCACCAGCCTATGTATTCGATCCATTCCAGCCCAGAAACTCCTCTGACCCCGTCGAATGATTTCCTTCATCGAGCAAGGAATTCCATCGATTTCTCTTTATTTCCGTGCGCCTTATGCACGGGATCCAGCTACAATGATCTCGGTTGCGAAATCAGAAACTCAGGACCCGAATCATTTCCAGAACCAAACGGACTCTGACTTTCCGCGAGTATCAACTTTTCGTCGAAGGTATAGCGAAGTCTAAGAAGATCCCCGTTGAAGAAATTCGTTTCAAGCTGTGCAACTGCGGACCTCCGACTGTCGGAGGACGGTTCCAACTGGACGACGCTTTCGGCGCTCGCAAGGTTCGTATGCGTGAATGAATTTCTGCTCGCTTTCCGCCTGACTTCAGCTCAACTCCCTCGCGTTTCGTTTCCGCTCGACATCATTATCCATACGACGATTCCGAAAGTTCAGGAATTCCTACGGAACGATAACCTCGAAAACTTCTCGAAGCTGAGAGCTGCGATCCCTGTGCCGCACACGAGATATGAGCTCCCCTCTCATGAGCTCGTATAGTCTAGGCCGGCTACAGACGCTAAGGGGAGTAGCCAAGGGAATGTCCGGCACTAAGACAGTTTCCACAAACGGAGGGCACGGAGGATCGATAGTACTTCCACGTGAGGCACGAATGCCGACCCTTGCATCCACAGGCTTCCCGGGCGGCCTTCCTAGCCGCTAAGTCTTGTTGACCCCATTATGAGCCCTCTCCTACAATAGCTAGACTCAGGGTCGCACAAATGGTCGAAGGGAGACCTCCAGTGCCGAGCATCCATCATGAGAATCCTAATGCCGAACATAGAGGCTCTACAAGAACGCCGAGGCTTTTCGGTCATAAATATAATATATTCACCGGCTCTTCGTACGGATAATGCGAGTGGGAGAACGACGCTAACAGGTCGGCTGGAGAGTCGACCGAGGGTCCGAGGCTACGGACGCGAGACTCCCTACTCGATGTCGGTTTTCACGTATGATGTGTACGGAGCGTTCGTGGGACGCGAGAAATTAGGCGACATTGATTGCGTTGGTCTCGGAAGGCCAGGACCTCTTTCCTTCCTCCCGCTCCCCTACATGCGACGGCGCCAAATTATCCCTCATGTCGCAACGCCTTCCTGGCCGCCAAGCCTTATTAGTGGAGCTGGAATCCCTCTCATTGATTCCTCGCGATAGGGGAACGCTTCCGCAGACAGTCCCCGCGATCCCCTGAGACGGCGTTCTTTTGTCATGTTATCCTCGTTCTGTCTCGAGAATCCTGATGGATCGGCGGCGAGTGAGCCCGAAAGATTTGGGAGAAAGATCGTCGTGTTGCTGCACGTCGCGCCGTCTTTGTCCCATGTCAAGATCAAAATCAAGATTCGATTCCGGAAACCGGCTTTCGGGTCGGCTCCATATCCGGATCGTTCGCCAGCGCCTGAGAAAGCGACAAGCCTCTTAACGACATCCCGACAAGGTCGATTACGACGATCAGGGCAAAAATGACAATGCGCGTTTCCATCAGTATTCCCTCTTGCGTCCCGGTCGTATGAGGCATGTAGTTTCCTCATCCTGCTCGCGGCAATGACGGCGGTGATGATGGCGGCGGCGGCGGCAGCAGCAGCGGCAGTGGTCGTGGTCATTTCCCGCTCCACGACTCTTTCGACATCTCCATCCTCCATCGGTCAAAAAGAGCAAAATGTCGGAGACGAGTGCCTCGTACTTCCACTTCTGACACGGAGGTTTATGTGTACGGTGTCAGGCAGGCTCTCCGGCGTTCCGTTCTGATAACGCTCCCGGACGATCCCCGATCCGTTTCGTGGGGAGAATCATTCGCACGTTATACGGGCGTAGCTCCCAGAGACCCGCGGAAACCACGATGAGAGGTGCATGTCGCGATTGTGAAACCAAATAATGGATGCCCGGTGGTTCGTGGTCGGCCACGTACGAGCGAACGACTTATCCGATATGAGTATTGATCGCCGCGGCGGTGGGAATATCTGCTAACTCCAGCCAGCTTGTCCACTTAGTTTGGCAGGTCTTAAATGATCGATGTTGTTGCCACCGTTCTCCGTCGCACCGTCTAATGCATGGACGGGAAAGAAGGAAGACCTTGTTTCTCGGGCTCGATTATCGCCCTTGGGTCTGACTGCTCGGATTCTTCCAATTATGACATTCACCGATTTCACCGGCGAGGTCAGCTGCCGCTCCGCTCGCTGCCACGCGGGTTCAGGCCGCGGAGTCTGGCTAGATGTTGGGGCAAGCTAGCCTCGTTCCCCTTCGTGCAATACCTCCCACCCCGGAATGAGCTCCCGATTCCCGTCCATAACTATTGAATTCAATCTTGCAGGGTTCATCGGGCCTTACGAAACCTGACAGGATCCACCGACGGTTCGACGAGAAATAGTTCGATGCCATGTCAAGTAAGCATGATGCCTCGAGTCCTCCAGTCCCGTGCATGGAGGCGATCGTGACAGGCGTCGATGCAAGAAGTCCTACTGGTCGGAGGGAAGGAACCGGAACTGCAAAACAAATCGAGGAGACTGATGAAACCGAGACGTGGAACACAGATCTGGAAAGAGGGTTTAAGTGAGACATGAAGGATTTTACCAGGAGGCTTCTTCAGCACTCGGATCGCGCAAAACTTGCACGCTAACGAATGTTACGCCAAGTATCATTCCCAGGGAAGGCTAATTATCCTCGAATCTCTTGTGTAATTTCTGGATTGGGAAACGATCGGAACACTCCGATCGTCCCGCTCGCAATTCCTTCTGATCCTGTCTGTATCATCTACTCCGAAAAATGAGTCAGGAAAATACGGCATATTCATTTAGCCATTCCGCTATGCGAGGAGACTTCAGTCTAATGATGTCTTTGGCGGTCTTTAATACATATATACAATTGCATTGATATCACGAGTCTTCACTGAGGGTCGCGAATTGCGATCCTGGGGATCGGCGGGCCTTTGAGCTCTTCCGAAATAGAGATCATGAGTCCGTCAACCGGTCGATTTTTTTCCGTTTGGAAGATGAACAGCCCTGAATCAACCTCTCGGAGCGGTCAATGAGCGAGTGCGAGCATAAGGAAGATCAGCCGCCCTTGCTGAAAGCGGAGATAGCGACTCAAGAGTCCTCCGTCATCTTTCACTCGCTTCCCTCACCTGGGTGCGCTGTTGTTAGGCGTCCTCCAGCCGTGAGATACACGATTCATTCCAGCGAGAAAAAAACTCCGCCTCGGGCTCTGATCAGCTGACTGAGAGTTCCGCTCGGTCAAAACCTATTTCGAGACACGGGAAGCTCAAGTTCGCGTGTAGAGGCGAGCAGACTGCGGCCTCGATTCCTCGAGCTCCTATATATATGTACGTGGGTGAAACCTAGCCTCGTTTTTCCACGAGATCTCCGAAATATGCTCTGGAGCAAGAGGATCACGAATCGCTCGAGATCTATGTCGCCTTCCGGAGGTGTCATGAGATTTTTCTCCAAGGGCCAGGAGAGGAGGCTGCTCGAGGCTCCTACCCCAATACGCGCTTTGAAGAGTTCTGTCGTACGGACATTGGAACAACAGAAGCAGCGACTCCGACAACGACAGGAATTCACTGGGAGGGAATGCCTCCGTCTTCGAAAGCGAACATTCAGGAGAGAACTCCGCCCGAGGCAATTCGAGTCGAGCATCTTTCGACGGAGGGGAATTCCAAGTCAATGTAGAGAGTAGTGCGAGAGTGTAGAGAGCGAGCAGGAGAAAGAGCATCCTGGTCCTAGTATCTCCAGTGAATGAGTAACTAGAGTACCTCCGGGGAGAAAGCAGGCACCTTATGGGAGGCGAGTCGGAAATCCGTGCGCGATAGATTTCAACCAATTCACTTTGAACCGGAACGTTGTAGTTTCTCGAAACAGTTTGCTATCGCGAACATTCATCGCGAGCACCTTCCTCGTGACCTGCGCGTCGCTCGAGGCGAATGCCTGTCAACGAAAGTTACCGCGAAAGATTGATCACAAAAGAAACGTTGTCACTCTGGCTTGGAGTGTGCTTCTCTGCTCCGGTTCCGCTGCGTTGTGGCGACTCTTCCGAAGCTTGTGCGGCTGTGTAGATGTTCCATCTGTGAAAATTCCCCTTCGGAGAAAAGAAGCGGCACTACTCGCGTTCGCCGAACCTCTGCGGCAAATGCAAGACGACGGGAGCTTTCCGAGCTTCGGCGACAATCCCCTCAAACAAAACCACCTTTGCGCATTATCAGAGCCCATTAGACCGCCCTGCGCGAGGTTCGTCGTGCACACTAGCGGAAGTTTCGCAACTTTTTCCGATTGCCTCCCCACATCGAACGCTAATCAGAAAACGAAGTTTGTGAGTTTATCAAGGCGATTTATTCGTGGGGAACATCAACAAACTCCCGATCTTTGCTGTCGCGAACGGCGAGGTTGGCGAAGTGAATTCGGTCGCAGACGGACCGCAGAGTAAGCCTTCCGGATACAGCCGATCACCAAATCGCCTCTTCTCCAGACAGTCGCCGCGAATGCTTTCAGAAAACTGTCATTTTGGGAAGGTAATTTGTGAAGTTATCTGATCTGTCCCTCCTTCTAGACTACTGCGATCGCCTGTCCCATCCCTTGGATGGAAACTCCGCGCTCACTGATCTGTTTGCCATTTCTGGAAAAAAGCCTCGAAGCCGCTGCTGGAGCATACTACGCATTGTACGCATAGAAGGAAATTCCACGGAGTAGATGAGAGCTGGAGCAGGTTCCGAGGAAACGATCACCCTCGAGAGCGAACTCCGGAGTATATCTCTCGGGAGCGAATGAGCAGCACAGATAGAATGCGCCCTCTTCTAAGTCTAATCCAGCTTCGGTCCTGAACTCGGGAATCTCGATTTTATCTGAATACATAAGACCCCAACTCGCTCCGCCCGGAAGCGATTCGAATTGCGAGGGCGTGGAGCTGACGAGAACTCTCCCTCCCGCCTTGATGTCCAAGAGGAGAGGAAACGCTCCTTCGCGTCGCTAAGACCCCTAACGAGTTGAGTCCTCAAAATGTGCTCGTTATCAAGAGGAGAAAAATGCTTTCCCCAAACTCATCAATCTTCCAGCAGCCGAGGGAGATCTGGGAATCCCCCCGAGCGCTGGGAGACAGGGAGCACGCCCCCGTACAATACCGTAGTTTTCGATAGTGTCCTCTAATACTGGAAAGATTCTGCCTCGTCGTATAAGGCTCGGTCCGATGCGAACTCGGCCCTTCCCCATCTCGAATGCAAATCGCAATTCTTTTTCTCACAGAGCCCCATTGACCGACTAAGCCCAGTGGCCCTCTTGGATAGACGGCGCGGAGCTTAGTTTCTCGGACTGGGGGCATAGGGCAT